CACCACCACCCTCGCCTCCACCGCCTTCGCCGGAGCCCTCGCCACCCTCGCCGCCCTCGCCACCCCCCCCGCCGTTCATCCGCCTCGTTGGCGGCGGTGTCCCCAGCGAGGGTCGCGTGGAGCACCTGGTGGATGGAGAGTGGCGCGCTGTCTGCGCTGACGGCTTCGGCGCACGCGCCGCCTCCATCGCATGCCGCATCGCAGGCTGGGCCGGCGGAATCGGCAACCTGACGGGCCCCGCGTTTGGTGGCAACCCTATCAGCGCCTCCAACACTTTACAGCTGAGCTCCGACGGAGCCTGCTTGCCCACCGTCGCAAGCTTCCTCGAATGCTCGCATGTGCTGGACGCCGTATGCGCGGCCCCCGCCTCGGTCTCTTGCGAGCCTGGTGCGATTAACTGCTGGGATGCATCCGCAACAACTGTCGCCCAGACGCCACTCGCGGCCTTCTGAGCTCGCTGCCCTCCAGCCCCGCCCTCAACCCATCTGCCCACCCCCTCTACCCACGCAGACATGGCCACCGCGGGCGTGCACCTTTCGGGCAGCGGGCGCAACAACTCGGGCCGCCTCGACCTGCGCTTCAACGGCGCCTGGGGTGCGGTGAGCAGCAACGGCAACTCCAACCACACGCAGCTGGCTGAGCTGGCGTGCGCCGCCCTTGGCTTCAGTGGCGCCGTGGTTGTGCCTGTTCCAGTCTTCATCCAGAAGGAGGTCACGCCCAGCTGGAGCACCGTCACCTGTCCCCCCGGCGCCACCTCCATTGATAACTGCACCCTGGGCTCCAACACCCAGCTCGTAGTAAACGCGAACTACCTCACCGTGCAGTGCTTGGCAGACGGTGGTGCGTGCTTGGAGGGGCGCGATGCAGCTGGGGGAGGTCCCACGGCCCGCATGCCTGCCTGCTAGCGGCGCTGCCAGCGCATGCGCTGCTACCAGCAGGCAGCGCTAGCGGCAGCGCTGCTACCAGCAGGCAGCGCTAGCGGCAGCGCTGCCAGGCGCCTCCCAGCCCCTGCAGGCACCTACCTGTCACACCTGATTTGCTCGCCCCCCCACCGCGTCCGCAGAGCTGCCCTACCTGTCTTCCACGGTGCGCCTTGTCAACGGCACCGCCCCACACAACGGCCGCCCCGAGGTGCTGTTCAACGGCGAGTGGCTGCCAGCGTGCACCAACGGGGGCTACTACTTTGCCCAGCACGGCGCGGCACAAGCGTGCCGCCAGGCGGGCTTTGTGGGGGGCATGGGCAAGGAGCTGCCGCCAGGCACCTACGGCGGTTTCTTTGAGCCCATGGGCAGGCGGTACGTCACCACCGGCACCTTCGTAGACCGCACCTATCCGGGCGTCCAGGCAGCCGACATGGGCATCGTGGACTGGGACACATGCCTGCCATCGGCAGTCGAGTGCAACCCCTCCACCGGTGCGTCTACTGGGGGCCAGTGACTCCCAGCCGCGGCATGCGCACATGCATGCCGCCAAAACCAACTTGTTCTAGTCTTGACGCAGCCGCGATCCCACCCTCTTGTCCCACCTGCTGTCCCACCTGCTGTCCTGTTGCACTCCCCCTGCCTCCTGCAGTTGTGCCCACCCTGCCTGTCGCCTTCTCGGGCGCGGGTGTGCCTTGGGCAGGCCGCCTGGAGGTGTATGGCGGCGACGGCACCTGGGCGGCTGTGTGGGGCTACGACCCCCAGGCGGCGGCCGACGTGGCACGCGCGACGTGCGCCACGCTAAACCTCACCCGCAACCTGGTGGATGTGGGCTCCGGAGGTGCCAGCCTCTACCTGCCCTCTGATGGAGACGTGCAGTACTACACCTACTCGTGCCCCGGCAGCGAGACCAGCATCATAGACTGCACCTTTGGCCCGCCACCCGACTGGTTTGGCGGCGCCAACAACGAGATCAGCGTAGCATGCTTCAACGACACAGGTTCGGCGGGAGGGGCTGCAGCTGGTTTGCCGCTCACAGATGTGTGCCCTGCAGCGTCCGCCCTTGCGGGCTGCAATGCTGCCCCCCACCTCCACCCTGCGGGGGGGGCGGGCTGTCTGCAGCGCTCCCAAGTCCCTGACTCTTATCGTTCCTCCCCTTCATCCTTGGGGTTGCAGAGCCCATGTACTGGCCGAGCACAACTCGTCTGGTGGGCGGCATCGACAGTTCTAGCGGCCGTGTGGAGGTGCTGCGCAACCGTGTTTGGTGGCCGTTGTGTGCCGACAACATCGATGTCACGGCCGCTGTGCTGCTGTGCCGCACCGCCAACTTCCCGGGCTCCGCCTCGCCCGCCGTCCTCAACCGAGAGTTCTTCTCTGATGCCAACACCAGCGTTGTTTCCTACAACGGAGGCTGCGAATTTGCATCTCCAGGAGTCACCAGCTTCCAGTCCTGCTCCCTGCTGGAAACCTCATCAGGCTTCTGCTCAGGCCACGCCGTACTGGACTGCTCTGCCACGACGCCTGCGCCGCAGCCCCCGCTGATCACGGTGCGCCTGTTGAACGGCAGCGTTCCCAGCGAGGGCCGAGTGGAGCAGTTGATGGGCGACGGCCAGTGGAAACCTGTCTGCGCGGGGGGCTTCGGCCCGCGAGCCGCCGCCGTCGCGTGTCGCGCTGCCGGCTGGCATGGAGGCCTCGGCAGCTTGGCCAAACCGGACACCTTTGGATCACTCGCCGACGGCACCTCTACCACCCTGGTCGTCTCTGGCGACACCTGCCCCCCCAATGCCTTCTTCCCGGACTTCTTCGGCTGCCGGACTTCAGTCAGCACTAGCTGCGCAGCCGCCGCCGCCGTTATCTGCGACCCATCGCCCGGTGCGCACGCTGCAGCCGCTTGTGCAACGCTCGGGCAAACCAAGCACAGCTTGCGCCGATGCCGTCCTGTGTTTCTGTTCTATATTGGCTCCCAGGTGGGAGCTCCCAGCTCTGCAGATGCAGCTCCACAGTGCCATTACACCCGCCCCTCGCAACCCTCCCCTCTACCCGCGCAGACATGGCCACCGCGGGCGTGCACCTTTCGGGCAGCGGGCGCAACAACTCGGGCCGCCTCGAGCTGCGCTTCAACGGCGCCTGGGGTGCGGTGAGCAGCAACGGCAACTCCAACCACACGCAGCTGGCTGAGCTGGCGTGCGCCGCCCTTGGCTTCAGTGGCGCCGTGGTTGTGCCTGTTCCAGTCTTCATCCAGAAGGAGGTCACGCCCAGCTGGAGCACCGTCACCTGTCCCCCCGGCGCCACCTCCATTGATAACTGCACCCTGGGCTCCAACACCCAGCTCGTAGTAAACGCGAACTACCTCACCGTGCAGTGCTTGGCAGACGGTGGTGCGTGCTTGGAGGGGCGCGATGCAGCTGGGGGAGGTCCCACGGCCCGCATGCCTGCCTGCTAGCGGCGCTGCCAGCGCATGCGCTGCTACCAGCAGGCAGCGCTAGCGGCAGCGCTGCCAGGCGCCTCCCAGCCCCTGCAGGCACCTACCTGTCACACCTGATTTGCTCGCCCCCCCACCGCGTCCGCAGAGCTGCCCTACCTGTCTTCCACGGTGCGCCTTGTCAACGGCACCGCCCCACACAACGGCCGCCCCGAGGTGCTGTTCAACGGCGAGTGGCTGCCAGCGTGCACCAACGGGGGCTACTACTTTGCCCAGCACGGCGCGGCACAAGCGTGCCGCCAGGCGGGCTTTGTGGGGGGCATGGGCAAGGAGCTGCCGCCAGGCACCTACGGCGGTTTCTTTGAGCCCAGGCGGTACGTCACCACCGGCACCTTCGTAGACCGCACCTATCCGGGCGTCCAGGCAGCCGACATGGGCATCGTGGACTGGGACACATGCCTGCCATCGGCAGTCGAGTGCAACCCCTCCACCGGTGCGTCTACTGGGGGCCAGTGACTCCCAGCCGCGGCATGCGCACATGCATGCCGCCAAAACCAACTTGTTCTAGTCTTGACGCAGCCGCGATCCCACCCTCTTGTCCCACCTGCTGTCCCACCTGCTGTCCTGTTGCACTCCCCCTGCCTCCTGCAGTTGTGCCCACCCTGCCTGTCGCCTTCTCGGGCGCGGGTGTGCCTTGGGCAGGCCGCCTGGAGGTGTATGGCGGCGACGGCACCTGGGCGGCTGTGTGGGGCTACGACCCCCAGGCGGCGGCCGACGTGGCACGCGCGACGTGCGCCACGCTAAACCTCACCCGCAACCTGGTGGATGTGGGCTCCGGAGGTGCCAGCCTCTACCTGCCCTCTGATGGAGACGTGCAGTACTACACCTACTCGTGCCCCGGCAGCGAGACCAGCATCATAGACTGCACCTTTGGCCCGCCACCCGACTGGTTTGGCGGCGCCAACAACGAGATCAGCGTAGCATGCTTCAACGACACAGGTTCGGCGGGAGGGGCTGCAGCTGGTTTGCCGCTCACAGATGTGTGCCCTGCAGCGTCCGCCCTTGCGGGCTGCAATGCTGCCCCCCACCTCCACCCTGCGGGGGGGGCGGGCTGTCTGCAGCGCTCCCAAGTCCCTGACTCTTATCGTTCCTCCCCTTCATCCTTGGGGTTGCAGAGCCCATGTACTGGCCGGGCACAACTCGTCTGGTGGGCGGCATCGACAGTTCTAGCGGCCGTGTGGAGGTGCTGCGCAACCGTGTTTGGTGGCCGTTGTGTGCCGACAACATCGATGTCACGGCCGCCGTGCTGCTGTGCCGCACCGCCAACTTCCCGGGCTCCGCCTCGCCCGCCGTTTTGCCCGCGGCTGCATTCAGCGACGGCTCCACCAACGTTGTTTCCTACAACGGAGGCTGCGAATTTGCATCTCCAGGAGTCACCAGCTTCCAGTCCTGCTCCCTGCTGGAGACCACCGCCGCATCATGCAGTGGAGCAGCTGTAATCGACTGCACATCCTGATTTGTGGTTCGACCCAACGCGCATATGGGAGGGAACATGAAGCTGGCGACGTTACTTGACCGTTCGCACACAGCACCTTGACGGATGAGGATCACGTTCTTCAGCCTGTTGGAATAATTCATGAGCCCTCGCGCTTCTGTTTTGCCTGCACCCATCACGAGGGAGGTCTCCCCTCGCGCTCCCATATATGCATGATGTACCCGCCTTGCACAGGCACATGTGCCTTGCGCCCGTGCTAGTTGGACTGCACCGGTTCTGCCATTGTTTCACCTGCTCGCTTGATTCATGATGAGTTTTGACTGCAAGGTGACTGCCGATCACCCGAGCATTAATGTTTTCATTAAAATTCCGAGCTTGACCCGAACTTGACATGCACTCTGCATGCCGCAGCGCCAGCGCCACTACACCCCTCCATCCCCCCACCAATCGCAGCTCTGGTGAGGCCAGCGGCTGGTACAGGCTGTCCCCCAGCAGGGGGCAGGCCGCCGCCGACAGCTGCGCCCGTATCTGGTGCTTGCCTCTGCAGCCCCACCACCTTGGCTGCCACCCTCCGCATCCCTTTCCTCCTGCGGCGCCTGCGGCGCCTGCTGTGCCGCCGCCTCGCCCTGCAGCACGGCCACTCATGCCGCCGCCGCCACAGCGTCCGGCTTGTCTGCCTGGATACCTGCCTGCAGGCGCTGCAGCTCGCCAGCCCGGATCGGAACCCCTGGCATGCCCTGCACAGGCACCCCCACAGCCCCACACATACACATGTCAGCGGGAGGAAGGGGATCTCGAGGGTGAGTGGTGGTTTTGCTTGCATGTGGTCGCGCAGTTGGTGTTGGTGGTGGCGGTGGCCGGCAGGGTGGGTGCAGCAGCGCGGTGGCGGCGGGCATTACATCACACAAGACTGCGCGACTTCTCGAGGCACGCTGACTGCCCTCATCCCCCCCCGGCACCCGCCACCATACCCAACTCCCCTGCTTGCGCTCCACCAGCAACCCCCACCCACCCCACCCCACCTGTGAGCCAAACGCCAGTTGCTCCAGCTCCACCAGTGCACCCCGTACCCTGTGCCCTAGCGGGTGATGACGTGCCACCAGTTGCCCGGCTCAGCATCGCAGAGCTGCAGATGCCGACCTGCAGGCAGCGGCGGCGGCAGCGACGTAAGCCATGAATATCCCGTTGGACTGCGCTCCCACACACGTCCCATGCGCCGCCTCCATGCCAGGCACTGTTAGGCACATCTCCCACAGCCCCCACATCCTCCCCCTTTACTCACAGCTCGCTGGAAGAGCTCGCTGGCCACGCCTGGCACCATGTAGTGAGCTAGCACCTCGCGGTCGTTCCTCCAGCATGTGTCCACGGAGGAGAGCGCTGCCCACAGCGAGAAGAACAGCAGGCCCAGCGCTGCCGGCAGCGACAACGAAAGGTGGCAGAGACGGGGTGCTGTCAGCGGCGCCAGGACAGCTCAAGGGGGGGTACCTGTGGGAGGGTAGGGTGGAGCAGCAGGTTGGGTGAGGGAGGCAGGCAGTAAAGCGTGCCGTGGGCAGCGGCGGCAGAGTATGTGTTTTAGCCCTGCGATGGTTGGTGCCAAACCCTGTGGTCTCATGACCAGCCATGGAAAGCGCTGACACCCCCTCTTCACACCGACCCTGCTTGCCACACTGCCAGCTTGCTCCACATGCCGCACCACCCGTCGGGCACCACCCGTCGGCTGCCGCAGCTGCTTCCTCGCCGCTATTTAGTCTAGTTGCAGACAGACTGCATCGCAGCTTGCAGTGCCAATCAACCGAGCTGGCGGCTGCCGTCTCCACTCCTGCCTGCCGCTCGCGACACGAAACGCGACACGAAACGCCCACACAGTTAATGTGCATGATGACAAGCATTTCACCGACCTTCCCGCCGGCAGCAGCTCCCCCACCTGCCTGCCCTCCACCCTCGTCCCTCCTGCCTGCCCGCGCGCTCAGCACACAGGCCGTGTGCGACTGCGCAGCGTATGCGCCCGCGCATCTCTGCCTGCCAGCTGTGCCTGCCGCCCCCACCACCCGCTGTCCGTTAGGTGTGGTGGTGTGGGGGGGTGCGGTGGCGTTAGGGTAGAGTGTGGGGGCGTGCTGGTGTGTAGGAGCCGCAGGCCGCCCCCGGACGTTAGGGTGCGGTGCCGCCTCGTCCCACCTGCCTGCCCGCGCCCCCATCATGCGCGCCCTGCTCTGCCTGCCAGCTGCGCCCACCGTTGCCCGTTACGTGGGGTACCGCCGGCGGGCAAACGGTCCGCAGAAGCCCCAGCTGCAGCGAGCCTGCCTTCCCCCCTCTCCCCTGCCGCCATGTCAGACATCTGCACATGTGCTGCTGCCCGCGCGACCAGAGAGCCCGAGGCAGGCTGACGCGGCCGAGGCAAAGGCGAGAGGGCGGGCTGGAGCCCGCCATCGAGTGCCGAGGCAGCGTCGAGTGCCAGGCAGCAGGCCGAGGGCGGACTGGGCGGCGCTGGTTGCTTCGCAGCTCGGGCACTCCTCAGAACCCCCCGATGGAGGGAGGCCTGTCTGAGAAGAAACGGAGCAAAAGGCACCACGGCCCCTTCCACCCTGGCCTCAGTAAGGCCCAGGTGGCCAGATGCATGCATGCCCGCTTGCGGCTCTCATACCCCACCCCCCAGCACTCACAATGGGTTCATTCGACGCTCTGTGGGGCGCCCAAGGGGCTCACACAAGCAATTGGCAATTGCGGAGCCCTGTGCTCGCCTCTTCCACATCCTTCCCGCCCTCTCCCGTGGCCTACATACATTTCCTCGTGCCTTTATGGTGCCACCAGCGCCAATGGCGCGCACCTGAGCGTCCCAGCAAGGGGTGATGGTTGGCCCAGCCTCTTTCACCCTCTCTCCTTGCGTGCACGCTTCCCAAAATGTTACCAGGTGCGTACTGGGTGATGTGAAGTGAGCAGGCGCCCTGACAACGCCACATACTTGAAGCCTGGAATGCTTGCTGAGCCGCCAGCTCTGCAGGAGCCTCCCTAGCAGGTGTCTGCGCTTCAGCGAACGCTGAATTGTTGCCTCCGATGCGCAGGAGTGGCCGCCGCTACACCGCCGCCCCCACTGCCGCCTCTGTGCGGCGCTTCTTCTGCACCCGATGATGCGAGCCGTTGTTGCGGAGTGTGGTACCATTCGAATCG